ATGCTGATGCTGATGATAATGAGGAGGAGGGGGAGGATGATGAAGTCTCCCAAGAGTGAACGGTGCCACGAGCCATCTCGACCCAGTTCCTGACTCCGTGCCCGGGCGCCGCATGGGGCTCTTCGGCCTCCCCGACGCTTGCTTGGCGCTCCCTGTCGGCCTCAAGGCGGCTCAAGATCATCCTTGGGCGGCCCAAGACGCCCCCATTACCCCCGATGGCAAGCAGCAACAGCCCGCGGAAGAGGTAAGCATTGCCCACACCACGCAGCAGCGGCAGCAAGCAGGAGCACGCAGAAGCACGGGGAGGGAGCGACCAGGTCGGCGCAGTCCCGGGCGCAGCGGGGGAGCTGGCGGGGCGCGGGCGGCGGCGGCCGCGCCCACCAGATGCCGCGGCGGGCGTAGCGGCAGGCGCGGCTGACGGCGCCGGAGGGGGCGCCGGAGGAGACGCTTGGGTGATAGCCGCTCCGACGTCTCGGAGCCTCGCCATGTGCGCGACGTGCATGGGCGAGGTACCGGCGCGGACGCCCAGGCTCAGGAGGGGAGGACCGGGCGCTCGGGTGCACCACGTCGGGTGCATGGCGCAGCGGTGCGGGCCCCTGGAGCGCTTGGAGGGCTGAAGCAGGCTGACTGACGAAAAGCGGGCCGAGGCGCAGCTCGCCTTCGACGCAGCTCGTGCTGACGGAGCGCAGGACGCGCAGGACAGAGGAGGAGAAGAAAGAGGAGGAGGAGGAGGAGGAGGAGGAGGAGGAGGAGGACGAGGACGAGGACGAGGACGAGGACGAGGACGAGGACGAGGACGAGGAGGACGACGAGCAGGAGAGGTCGTGGCCGAAGCCGCTGGGCAAGGAGCCGGGCCCCGTCGGCCGCCGAGGCAGCCGCTGGAGGCCGCAGTGGAGCCGGGAGTGTTGCGCCGCATGGAGTTCTGGGACACCGTCCCGTGGGACAGCATCCACAACCCCGTGGGCACGGTCAAGGTGGTCCCAGGAGCAGTCCGTCACGCGGTGGCTGAACTCCGGGCTGCGCTGTGTGTGGCGGCACAGGCGGCGGGCGGCGCCGCGCAGGAGGAGAGGGCCTTGAAAGCCTTACTGTTTTCCGACCCGTTGCTCTTTGCCTCAGTGCGGAAGCGGCGGGGCGGTGCGCGCGGGCAGAGGGGAGAGACGCTGGCGCGGACGCTCGTCCGGCGGGTGCGCTTGGCCTGGGAGGGCTACTGGGACCTCCTGTGGCAGGAGACGGCCGCTGGGCAGCCGCGCGGGGAGCTCCAAGCGTGCTCCGAGGCGCAACAGCTGGCCAGGGATGTCCAGGCGATCGAGGAGGCACTCGCCGAAGAGGACGTCCGCGAGGCGATGAGGGTGGTGGACGGCAAGATCAAGCTGGCCCCGGACAGGAAGGCGCGAGACTGCCTCCCCCGCCTCTTCCCCCGCGTGGCCTCGCAACCGCACATCCCGCTGACGCAGCCTATCAGTGACGACGTCGACCACTTTGTCGATGAGCTGGGTAAGGCGTACGCCCGCGCACCGCGCAACCGCGGCGCCGGCCCAGGAGGCTCGCGCGGGGAGCACTGGCCATGGATGCCGCAGCACGGGGCCCAGTGGGAGGAATTCACGAAGGTCGTCTTGCGGCTCCAGCTCGGCACCGCCCCGGCCGAGGCTTTGAGGGCGTGGCACAGTGCCCGAATCCTGGCGGGGGACCGGCCGGAGGACGACAAGGTCCGGCCCTTCGCCCTAGGGATCCTCCACCGCCGCCTGGCGTCCAAGGCAGTGGCCCGCATCTTTCGGGGTCGGGTCGCCGGGGTCCTCGGGGAGGCTGAGTATTCTGTGGGCAGCACGAGAGGCGCGGAGGTCATGCACAAGGCGGTGTTGCTTGACCTCGACAGCCGCCCGGCCTGCTGCAAGCTGAGCCCGGATGTCAGCAGTGCCCACAACGAGTACGACAGGGCCGTGGCCGCGCAGGAGGTCCAGCAGCTCGTGCCGGACTTGCTGCCATGGGTGCGGGTCGGCCTCGGCACCGCGACTAAGCACGCGTACGTCGCGAGCGACGGCGCCCGCACGAGGCTGCCCAAGGAGCGCGGGGGCGACCAGGGCGACGCGCTCACCAACATGCTGTTCCCGCTGAGCTACAAGCGCGTCACACGTGCAACCGCGGAGGCGGCAATGGTAGAGGGCACGGCGGCGCGAGGCTACAGCTACCAGGACGACCTGCGCCCCGGAAGCGGCGGGGCGGGCCGAGAGCGCCTTCGCTGCCGCGTGTGCGGCTGTGGGCCTCCGCGGCAACCCGGCTAAAACGAAATTTAGCCCAGGGCGGCTTGTGGCGGCGGCCGCGCTCCCGGCCCAGCGGGAAGTAGAGCCACGAGCCCTTGTGCTCCGCCACGGAGCGCTCCCGCCTGTCCCCGCAATGCCGGCGCTGGGCCACGCGGCGGGCAGCATGCTCGCGGAGGGAAGCCCAGAGGTCGCGAGCCTCGCCGGCGCCCGCGGGTTGCTCTACGGGCGGCTGCGGACGCTGCGCGCGGCAGGCCTAAGCAACCAAACCGCGCTGGCCCTGCTCCGGACGCGGACGGGTTCGGACTACGTGATCCTGGCGCGCAGCTGTGGCATCCCAGAGACGGAGGGGGCTGCCATGGACGCCGCGCTGGTGTCCGAGGTGCAGCACATCCTCGGGCAGCCGCTCAACGATGCCACCCGGAGGAAGGCGTTCGTGGCGGCGGCAGCAGGCGGACTGGGGTTCCAAAGCGTGGCCCTCACCGCGCCGGCGGCGCAGGCGGCCTCCTGGCACCTCTGCCTGCCCCACTGCCTCCGCAGGCTGGAGCTCCCAGGGGCCAGCGCTCTCGCCGGGGCCAGCCCTTGGGCAAGCACCTGCCTCCCCGCCGCCACGCGGGTCCTCCAGGCGGCCCTAGACGACCAGACCGCCCACGTCGGCGACGAAGGGCTGGCAGCCACGCAGCACGCACTGGCTTCGGCCCCACTAGCTGCGGCTGCCCGCCGCGTCGCGCACGAAGCGGCGGCCGACCCGCCCACTGCGGCGGCTCTGCTCAGCGCCGGGGGTGCCGGCGCCAGCGGCTGGCTGCAGCCGCCCACGAGGCCGTGCCACCGCTTGACAGACGCGCAGTTCGGAATCGCCGTCTGGACGAGGCTGCACCTGGACTTGCCTCTCTGCGCAGGCTTCTGCCAGCACCGCCACCCAGACGGCAGAGTGTGCGGGGAGGCCTTGGATCCGAAAGGTGTCCACGCCCGGGGATGCGCCGTCGGCGGCTGGCGCGTGCGCCGGCGCGACGCGGGGTGCGCGGCCCTGGCCGAATGGTGCGAGGAGCAGGGGTGCACCGTGCACAGAGAAGCGCTGGTGCCCCACGCGGCGCCCGCGAATCCAGAAGCCCGCATGGACTTGGTCGTCCACGCGCCAGGGGGAGCGGCGCCGATCCTGGTCGACCTCACAGTGGTCGGCGCCCTGACCCAGGACGCCCTCGGCCTCGGCGCGCCGCGCCGCGAGGGCGCGGCTGCGGCGGCCGCGGAGCGCCGCAAGCGGGCGCGCTATCCAGGCGCGCCAGTGGTCCCGTTCGTCTGGGAGAGGACGCAGCGGCGCTGCTTCGCCGGCGGGCCCCGACGCACGCGACGGAGCGCTCGGCAGCGATCCGCCGCGTGCACCAGGCCCTAGGCAGCGTGCTACAGCGCCACGCGGCCGATGCCGTGTTGGCGGCCACCCAGCGCCGGCCTTGGCGCGAGGCCAGACTTGGGCGAGCGGCTGGAGGAGGAGGAGGAGGAGGAGGAGGAGGAGGAGGAGGAGGAGGAGGAGGAGGAGGCGGGGGAGACTGA